CATTGAAGCAACTGCCATGTGATTGGTTGATTAGATAATTGCATTAATGAGAAATTGAACAGGTGTTCCTAATAATCCTTTAGCTGAGTGTATATTTCAATTAGTCCTTCAGTGTGAGTGTTATCTTATCAATTTCCCTGTTTCTACTGCTGCCAATTATCTTTAGTTTGCTAGTAATAAAGTGAAGCTGCTTCCTTTTTAAAAAGAGTATATCTGTCTAAAATGGTTTGCAACCCATGATCGGTTACACTGGTGTCAGAAGTGGAATGCCAGGTCAACATTGAAATTAATTATTTAATTTGGAGACTCTAACAAGCACAGCTTTCAAGATGGCACCGAGGGGAAGTGGCAGCAAACCGAAGGGGAACCCCAGGAACTGAGCACGAAGTGATGTCAAAGTACTCCTGATTGAAATCCCTTTGCACATTTATTCTCCAAACCACTGGATAACCACCATAGCTGTTCAAAATCTCTTACCACTATTTCGTATCCTCTCCTCCAGTACTTCAGTGTGTCTGTGAGGTAGCTTCTTGGTGAAGACTCGTGCAGACCTCAGGAACATGGCCTCCACTGCTGAGCCTTTTAGAAGAGCAATCTGGTCTTCTTGGTCCAGGGTCTGGAAACCTACCAGGGACATGGGAGATTGCAGCACCCATGAAACTCCTCTGAAGAGACATTTATCTTCTAGCTGACATTTACAGCAATTATTAGTCATTAATACAGTGCCAATGCAAAATGCTAATACAAACCTGGGATATTTTTGGTGAATTCGACAAGCACTTGAACATGACTAGTTGCCATCTCTGTCAATAAAATGAAGTTTTCTTCTGTACTGTAGTGCTCTTGAAGCTATATGGTAAAATAAAAGAAATACTTGCCAGATTTGAGATGGAATTGCAAAAAAAATATATATATATTAAACTTAAATTCCAAACAATTTTAGTCTAGTCGTGTAAGTCAAGTAAATGCAAAAATACTAATATTATTGCTGTTAAATGGGGGAAAATGTTGGTTCTTATTGATGATGTTGCTAAAACAAAATAATGGATAGACTTACAAGCTTTTTCGCCATATCCTGGGGTATACGGTGTTTATTATAAGCATGTACTATGTAGTTCAGCAGGGTCTGCTGATCTGGACTAAACTCAACTTTCTCCTGAAACCATGGAAACAACTGAAATTGTCACATGGAAAATGCCAGTGATGCCAGCTTCTTGCCAAATCTCCTTCACAGATGCTTTTGATTAATACAAAATACAGGAAATGAAAATGACTCTTCTTGGAGGTCTACTTTGAATTGGTCAATGATGTTTGCACAATTATTCTGATGATAGCACTGCATTACCCAACTTTACATAACCAATATAAAGGTGAAAATGTAACTGTACAGCAAATTACTTAATTGGACATATTCTGGGAACCAACTGCTTGCACATTTGCTTAGAAATTTGTTTACCTTAGGTATTTTTAAAAATAAACCAAAGAGATGATTATAAATAAAAGTGGAGAGCTGAAGTATAAAGAACCCTTATCACTACTGATAGGTTTTAAAAAAGGAATTGTCCATTAAAACAGGCGATTACCTTTGAAAGCTTTGTGGTGGAGGTGACCTGCTTGGTATCTCCACCACTTCCACCTTTGGTTTGATCCATGCCTGACTCTTCTGAAGAAGCCTTTGTATATTTCTTTAGTCGTTTAGACTTGCACTGGATTTCTGTAAGCAGACCTGTAATCGAGATCCGAGTGTGGACAAAATGTTCATGTCCATTAAAACTGGATTCAATGAATTTATATAACCAACAGAGCAATTCAGAAACTGCACTGTATGTAACATGCTCTGTATTTGAAAGGACAACTGATTATGCCTCAATGCAATCAGTCAAAACTCTTCCTTCTGTATAGTTAAAATCATAGTTAAACTCATAACAATGTTCTGTCATAATGTACAGTAAAGCAGCTGCCTAGCTCCCACTCCAGGTTTCTGCCTTCACTCCAACCCCAAATCAGTGGTGTTCTGCCACCCGCATGTTGGCTATATTTTTGTATTCTTCATTTCTTGTTGTTCAGGGCTAAGTCTTGCTTTCCATCTTTGTTTTTTTATCATTGTTAATAAATTTTGTGAGTACCACGTGCACCTTCCTTGCCTTCATCTGACTGGCATTATCAATGACCTTCAGACAGTAGTGCATTCCAAGAACATCAATATAGTGATTCAGTTTTATACTCCCATCAAAATAACTCTACTTCTGGGTGCTCTATGGCTGATAATCAGGTGGTCATTAAAAAACTCCACAACCTCTATACCAGGGGTGGTGAGTCTGATCCAAGGAGAGGTCATCCCAAAAACCCGCACCCAAAATGGCTCTCCATGGATCAGTTTCGCCACCCCTGCTCTATACCTATAGAAGAGAAAGCAAGAAAGTTATCAGTCTCACAGCCACTATGCTACATCTGTGAAAATCTGCTGGAGATGTTTCCTCTCTGTGTTGTTATCTTATCTATGTCCATGGCCTACAGCCAACCAGCCAACAGGCAGGCACTTAGTCATCCTTCATACCATGGACTGCAGAACTGGAGGGAGGGCCACTCACTGAATGTTGCAATTTGAACCCACCAACTGTATCATGCGTACATTGTGAGGCAAAAAATACATCATAATGTGAGCAGTCTTAAAATATTAAGAGGTAGAGGTTTATACCTGAGTTTTTCTCAAGCAACCAGAGAAATGTACATTACAGTATGCCCCTCCCCCCATCCTAAAGCATTCCAAGGTTTCACACAGATTTCCCTAAAGGTCACACTGTTTCTGTTAGCTTTTGTCATTGTTGTGGCAGATGACAACACATTGATCCCAGCATATTCAACATGTTCAAGGACAGAAACTGAAAGCAACGCATAGAGTATCTTTCAATTTGGAAAAGAATGAAAATAACAAGGTATCACTTCTCTCCTCAGGGTCCATGTAAAACATTTCTCTTTGGAAATAAAGGAAATTGCTACTTTTAAATACCAAATATAACACTCAACTCAAGTTTTAGTTTTGTTTTATCTAGTTTAGTTTTATCTTTTTAGTCCTTTTTTTTAATTCTTGGAAACAATTTACATAAAAACCCATGAAACCAATAATTCAAATATTTAAAAATACAATATAGAAATATAGTTCTAGGAGGCAATTTACGGGGTCCAACACTATGGCCTGAATATACGTTTTGACCACATTCAACATCAAATGTTCCATTACAATGACTGCAAGTGAATGTGTATTAAGCATGGAACTTTGTGTTTGTATGGCTGTATAATATCTACAATACTGTACATGGGCGTATGGACTATGGGCACTACAGCACCACCATAAACCCAGCCTGTGTCTTTTGTCTGGGCTAAGGAGCGAGGAATATTGCACCAGGTCAGGTCGGGTTGGGGAGCATGCAGCACATTGCCGCACCTACCACACAGCGAAACTCCTCGGGATTCCAGCCGGCAATCCCCCAGGCAGATACACGGTCCAGTCCCACCCTCCGGAAATGGCCATCCATCTGCCACAGTCAGGTGCTACGTGAGACTCCCCTTGGCCTGATCCAGTTACTTAGGTCCTCAGCAATGAGGATCCTGCGAGCCGGATCACCCTCAGGGAAATGTGCCACATGGCTGTAGTGCCGTAAATGATGCTCCCTCACAATGCAGGTAATGTGCCTCATTCGGGACTCCTCTAGCAACCGCTCATTTGACACAATTCAAACCAGCAGTACCCAAGGATTCCCCAAAAATACACAGTTCCGAAGGAGTCCAGTCTTCATCTCAGCTCACTGGATAGCGTCCATGTCTCACAGCCATACAGCAAGAAAGAGAGCGCCAGGACTATAAAGACCTGGACCTTTGTCTTTTTGCAAAGATATGGGGAGCGCGACACAGCCCTTTCCAGTGACCTCATGACCCCCATGCTCTTCCAATCCGTTTGCCCAACACCCAGTCCATGGAAGCACTGAACAGAGTAGGAGCAAGAACACACCCCTGGCGAACCCCAGAATCAACTGGGAAGAACACAGAGGTCCTCCATCTACTCTGCACAGCACTCACAGTTCCAGTGTACAGACTGACCATGACATCCAGTAATTTAGGGGATCCCGCGAAGTCTCAGAATGTCCCAAAGGGCAACTTGATCAACTGAGCCAAACGCTTTTACAAAAATCGACAAAGGCTGCAAAGAACCTCTGCCAATATTCATGCTTGCACTCGATGAGAATCCTCAATGCAGGGATACGGCCAATGGCAGACTTCTTATGCGTAAAACCAGACTGTTCCGGTCGCTGATAGGCAAGCAAGTGATCATGGATCCTGTTAAGGATGACCCTAACTCCGACTGCTGGGGGAGGTTTGAGTCTGAATGGACATTGTTCCGGATCTCCATTGTGGAAGTGGCCGTACGGAGCTGTGGCTGCAGGGTAGTCGGTGCCAGTCGTGGCGGAAACCCCTGTACCCGATGGTGGACACCAAAGGTATGGGGAGCTGTCAAGCTGAAGAAGGAGGCCTACCAGGAATTATTAGCCCAGGGGTCTCCGGAGGCAGCTGGCGGGTACCAGCAGGCCAGGTGGAATGCGGCTTAGGTGGTTGCGGAAGCAAAAACCTGGGTGTGGGAGGAGTTTGGTGAGGCCATAGAAAGTGACTTTCAGTCGGCCTCAAAAAGGTTCTGGCAAACTGTCCGAAAAATCAGGAGGGGGAAGCAGCTCCTGGTTCCTACTGTTTACAGTGGGGAGGGGGTGCTGTTGAATTCACCTGGGGACATCACCCAAAGGTGGAAGGAATACTTTGAGGACCTCCTCAACCCTGCCTCAGATACATCTACACGCATCGCCTTCGAGACATCAGAGGGCACGGGGCTAGAGGGGCTGGGACAGAGTTGTCAATCACATTTTGAGTAAACTTTGCAGACTGATGTATATGAAAATCCAAAAGACTGGTAGCTACAGAAATACTCAAAACAGCACATGTGGTACCAACAATCATGCCATGGGCAAAATCACTGAGATCACATTTTTTTCCAATCTGGTGTTTGCTGTGAACATTATCTGAAGCCTCTGACCTGAATGTACATGATTTTGTGCATTGTGCTGCTACCAAATAACAGATTAGATAGTTGCATGAATAAGCTGGAATACCAATTTTGGTTCTGAATTAACATGGATGACCGTTTTGTGGCGGCGATGAGGGGAGAGGACCAATTCTGCCAATGTTGCGGAGAGACACACCGGTGTTACTTCTGGCATCATGGTGTGGGGAGCCATATGATATGACTTCATGTCATCTCTGGTAGTGATTCGGGGGACCCTGATGGCACAGCGCTGCATCAGTGACATCCTGTGTCTGCATGACTTACCCCTCCTGAGACAGCACCCTGGTACAGTCTTTCAACAAGACAATGCCCATCCACACATAGCATGTGTGTCTATGGACTGCCTGCGTCATGTTGAGGTCCTCCCATGGCCAGCTAGGTCCCCTGATCTTTCCCCAATCAAAGTGTGGGAGCACTCGGATGTCAACTCAGACCCAGTGCGAATCCACAGGATCTCAAGAGCCAGTTACAACAGCTGTAGGCCAACTTGCCACAGGAGAGGATACAATAATTTTGGGCCAAAATAACAAATTAGGTAACTTAACGTAATTTGTTTATTATAACAAATGATAACCATAACTACAGCTTGGTTAGGTGTAATTGGACATGATTTCTGTGAAGTTCCTTTGAAAGTATCAGAATTTATATTTCAAATAACAACATGAATGAGTGTGGGACTCTCCTAATAAGAGTGTGGGTCAAAGTTTGTCCCTCTATTGTGTATGTATATATTAATATTTGAAATAAATGACCGGGTATTATCTCACTAGAAGAAAGTGAACCAAAGCCGACTCACATTCTGCCAGCATTCCCATCTCTTTACACTTCCGGAGCCGACATTCCTGGCACTTCCTACGCATGTACATGTCCATCTCACAGCGCCCCTCAGTTTTGCATTTATAAATTGCATTCTTCGTAATACTCCTCCTGAAGAAGCCTGTGAGAAACAGGAAGTAAGACAGCATTAGGCCTGAACTGACTGTGCAGTATGCCTTTCATTCGGAGTAAGATGCATTTTGGGATATAGTATGTACTTTATGGCCTGCACTGCTGATTGATGCTTAGTGATATAATGTTATTGCAAAAATAATTAGTTAAAAAGACACATTACCACAAAAGTTATGGAATGTTCTGACCTAAATTCTTGGTCTTTACAGTATTTCAGTTGATTGGGGTCATTCTCACATTGATGTTTATCTGCTTGTGGTAAACTTGGTACAGACACAGAAAATAATAAAAAACAAAGAGGCAATGTTTTACACTGGGCTGATGGAAGCAAAGAGAGTTTTAATGCATATCAGGGCAGATAGGGGAAAACATACAAAGCTCTGACTGGATGTTGTACACTATTTCATGTTTAGGTGAATTTTTCACAAGGTACTTTTTTCATGGTATGGTTGTAAAAAGAGCTAAATCTTCATACATTCGTTCCATTGTTAAAGGAAGCCTTGAGGCAGTGTGTGGTTCAGTGGGCTAAGCCTACTGTATGTGCCTGTAATCACAAGGTCACTGGTTCAAACCCAGCCTCAGCACATCTGTGGATCCTTGAGCAAGGCCCTTAACCCCCAGCTCCCTGGGTGCACCAACAGGTGGATGTTTTTCGTGGGCAACTTACTGTACAAAAGAGCAAGTTGAGGGAGGTGTAAAAGACAATTTCCCCATGGGGATTAATAAAAAGTATCAATTGAGAAAGAATATAGTCAGTCTACATCTGGAAGGTCCCATGTTGGCCTTGTGTGATTTCAGAATCATTACAGTACCTTCATTCGAACCAACCTCATTGAAATTTCTAGCATTCATTCAGGGTAAAGATTCTGCATCATTATAAAACTGGTAAGATACTCAAGAAGTCCAATTTGATTCATATGATAATTGGGGGATTTTTTTATTTCGTACCTTTATTACTTCATAATGATAACAACCTCCAATAAATATAATTACCAGAACCTGGCTGCTCTGCTAATTTCTGCACTTAGCGCACCTCACTGATCGCTACATCAAAAAATCTTTCATTTTGTTTAAGGCCTAAGCTTCTCACTTTCCTATGCAGTTACAGGAACACAATACACAACCACTGTATACCACAGTTATTTTTGTGGAACTTCACATACTGACATGGGGAACAAACTGAAAATGACAAGTGGGAGAGAGTTGATTGTTAACAAACCTGTAGAGGAATATAGATCAGAGGGGGACATGGGGAGGACTTAATGGTAAACATAACCTGACAGAGGAGACAGTGAATTTGGAAGAAGGGGTAAAACAAAGGCATTTGTATATGTTCATTTTCATGCCTTAAATGTCTAGGACATCTGAGAAGGCTGGGGCAGAATCCAAACATGTTGCAGTTTTTATTGTGTGAGAGCACCCTAGTAATTTACATGAAATAAACAGGGACATGTCGAAGCTTAGAGGGGTCATTACACACAGCTCGGCTAGAGAATCAGCCACTTCTCCCTGGCTGAGCTGAGACTGCAGTCCACACTCCAGCAGGGTAGCTGTGCATTAAATTACACCTTGTTTCAATTAAGGATTTCATTTTAGTGAGTACCGTATTTTCCGCACTATAAGGCGCACTAAAAAGCCTTTGATTTTCTTAAAAAATAACAGTGCGCCTTATAATCCAGTGCGCTTTAAAGGTGGATTAATTTCTGTTGTGCATACTGAACTCAAAGCGATTTTAATGTTTTAGTATTGAAAAGTGAGTGTATTGTGTAGTGCTTCACGTGTTATAAATGAACAATTTCAAGAGTTATTATGAATACGCTGACTTTTGATTTAGTGATATAGGACTGTATTATATGTGTTCAATTTTGAGTTATTGTTAATAGGCTGACTTTTGATTTAGCGGTATAAGACACTTGTTTTTTTACGTGTTAAAGAGTAGTGAAGACGCTCATAAACGTTTGAACAATGTTGACAGTCATTGTGAACACGTGATGTAAAATACATTTTGGTTGACTGGCTTATCTGACTGTTTTGTTTTGCTTAAAGCGCCTTAAAGTCCGGTGCGCCTTGTATGTGGAAAAAGTTTGAAAATAGACCACTGATTGACGGTGCGCCTTATAATGCAGTGCGCGTTATAGTGCGGAAAATACGGTATTAGCAGCAAATTTGCGACAGATTAACTGTGTGGAGGTTGTGACATTCAGGGATGAAAAAAGGGCTGAGATGGAAATTATTTCAAAGAGTATTTAAAATATAGGAATCATAGGGAGAATAAGCAAACTCTGAACAGGAGTGGGATTCAAACCCTGACCTTGGACGCTAGTGATGCGCGGGTCGACCCGTGACCCGCGGGTGCGGGCAGTTTTCGGGCAGACATTTTTAAAATATCGTGGGCCGGTCAAACCCACTAAACATTGGATGTCGGATAGACATGCAGATCATGTCTATATTGGGTCCGTCAGTCCATGACTAATTCTGGACATCTATACAACGTCCAAACTAGGTCCACAATTTGAACGTCCATGCATGACCCAACTTGTACGTCAATATGACATTCAACATTTGAACGTAATTTTTTTGGACGTCATGTGGACGACTATGACAGGTGCAGGAAATATAGTTTTATTTACAAATACTGAATCAACGTTGTTGTTATCAACATAATAAATGTGAATACAGATTATTTATAAACAAACATGATTTATTATGTTTTAGCCTATTGATTTATTCAGTACGGGGTTTTTTTGTTCCAGTTTTTTTTTAACTGGTTTATTTATTTCAATTAATCAACTTATTTGTTTATGCATATATGTATTTATCCATATATCTGATTATTATTTATTAGGGAATGCAATTTGTGGGAAATTAGAGTTCCGAAAATAATTTCATGATAGCCGATATCCACCCTAAAAAGTGACGCCATGACAGTCAAGGACCAACCAAAGGATTCAAGCAGTCAACGCCACTCTGATTGGCTGAAACAACAAGCCAGACATTTTGGCGCGATTCAAGGCAATGCTAACGGCCGCACACTACCTACTGTAAATCAATCCCTAAGGTGAGTCCACACATCGTTTTATTGTAAACTGAAGGTAAGTTTGGTGAGCCTATATAGTAAATTCTATGTCCATTTGTAGGTATAGTGTTAGCTACTGTAGTTTAGCGTTATTATCTTAAATTCCCAAAGCTGCTGTGGTTACAGAAGTTAACATGTCTTAACGGCACAGATTTTTTTGTTTTGCTTTAGCTTGCTGCTACTGTATGTACACTTTTGGTTCAGTTTCAATGGTATTTTGACTGTACACGAGAGAGCATGCCGTTTAATGTAAATGTAAACTGTTTGTAGCTTGCAAATTGTGAATTCGTATGGCTATTAGGCCATGGCAATGAAGGTTATAGATTTGCGTCCACCGCCTGCATGTCTTGACAGCCGCGGCTAAAAATTTTCATTATTGGCAAAAAATTTCATTATTTCCACAAAAAAATCAAACTGTTACACAAAATGTCTTTCCCATTAAAAATGATGCTGTATGAGGCTTTTCACGACATGTCTACTCTTGTCGCTGATTTAGGCTTAATGCAGTGGATGGATTAATTAATTAGCTTAATTGCGATGGATGCAGTGCCCTAGGGCTTAAGTGCCAATGTTTATTCAAGAGACCAAATAAATAATAATTTAATTGAATATCTGTGGTTCATAGTTCTTTATTTTTTTCTATTTTACATAGGATTTTATGATACCAGTACACAAGGGCGCAAAACTCGAGGTAAAATCTAAATTCTAAGTAAAATAATGAAAACTCTAAAATAATGAATAATGGAAAAAAAGCCGCATCACTTTTTTGGATTGCCTGGACGCAAATCTATAACTTTCATTCTCATGGCCTTAGGGTTGACAACAGGATAGGTCGAAAGCTAGCTAGCAGCATGACAAGGAGTTCTGGCTCGTGGTTAACCAGCTAGCATCCGTAGACGATGTTCACGGAGGATGCAAGGTTGATTGATGTTACCCTCAGTGACTTATCATTCATTAAATGAACATAAGTTTTATTGTAAACCATGAGAGGTTTTTTTGTCTCTAATCACACCCCACTGATGACACATGAAGGTTGCACGTTGTTAGCTCGTTTTGGATGTTCTAGGAGCTTTTTCCAGCGCATTCACTATGAATACTGTCAGAAAATATGAAAAAAGTGTACATTATGTCAGGACTCAGGGCACAAGCTTTTCCCAAGGGCAGCAACTCTTAGTTTATTCTTGTCGATTTTTTACTGTGCCACTGAAGGTCAGGTTACATTGAGATTAATTCTACAGGGTATCCGCGCAGGAGTAAAGGGTAGTAAATGAAATCAGACAAAATTAAGGCCCTTGAAAGGTATTAAAAGGTAGTAAATGGAATTTGACTTGGTAGTAAATTTTTCATCTTCCACCTTAATGAGTTTTCCATTAATCTACATGTTTTAACTTCATCTAATTAAAAAAATATATAATATACGTGCTAACAGGACCTGAGTCAGAATTAATAGCCTATCAGAATGACACTGAAGCAATTTCTCCGCCAGGGTGATCTAACGTGTTGATATTAGGAGAGCCTCTTAAACTAGCTAATAGCCACTTGGCGGTGAAATGAGGAAATGTAAGTTTTCTAAAAGTTGGCTTGATAACCCGTCATTTAAAGACTGGCTTAAGCCGGTCATGGGGAATGACCGGAAAGCATTCTGCAGTATATGCAAATAAACTCTAAATCAAACCTGGAACGGCGTTACTGCGATCAAATCTCATTGAGAATCCGCCAGTCATCAGCAGCGGATTCGCGTG